TAAAAGTGATATCTGTAAAGTAGTCTACTATTAGATTGGTTCATTTCGGTTCAACGTCTATCAGAGACCATAAAATAAGTTTATTATGTCGGTGAGAGTTATATAAATGTTTATAATTAATCAGACATGACTTTGAAATAAAAGAAAAATGCTTTAGAATAAAAATCAATTTCTTCTTCACGTTTATATAAACTGTCCACCAGATAAAACTTCAGTCATTGTTTACAAAACCAGAATGTTTTATTATTGTAAATAATTTCCGAATCACTATTCCTCCTTTAATGATCACATCACTATCTCTTCATTCTTTTGAATTTTGTACTTATTCAACTGGAATCATTTAATTTCTAATTTTTTTCCCACAGAAGGCTGTTACTGATGGTATTCGGTCAATCGATGTTGAGTATCTTGCGTAGACAACTATTTATAAATACTTGCACCTTCTTGATGATGGTTGTTGTAGTTCTCCAAGTTTCAGCTCCGTACAGTAGAACTGCCTTGACATTCGTATTGAATATTCTCACTTTGATATTGGTTGAAAATTGTTTTGAGTTCCATATGTTCTTCAACTGTGGGAATGCGACCCTTGCTTTGCCAATCCTTGCCTTTACGTCTGCATCTGAGCCTCCTTGTTCATCGATGATGCTTCCCAGATATGTGAAGGACTCTACATCTTCCAGAGTTTCTCCATCAGGTGTGATTGGATTGCTGTTCTCCGCTTTGAATTTGAGAACCTTGGTTTTGCCCTTGTGTATGCTGAGGCCTACTGATGCAGAGGCTGGTGCTACATTGGCTGTCTTTATCTATATTTGTTCGTGTGTATGAGATAGGAGAGCTAGGTCATCCGTGAAGTCCAAATCGTCTAATTGGGTCTGAGCTGTCAATTGTATTCCGTGTTTTCCCTCAGATGTCGAAGTCTTCATAATCTAGTCGACCACCAGAAGAAAGAGGGAGAGAGTACATTTGATCTTACTTATATTAATCCGCTGATTGTCTAAAGAAAATCTAATAGAGTTTTAATAAGGAATACTTGGATTGTATGATAAATGAAAAATTTCATACAAACGACCATGAATTTAAATTATCCGTTTCTATTTACTAACAACAATAAACTGGAATAAAATTTTAATATTTTAACTAATAATAATAATAAAGAGGTAACTTGTTAATCAAAGATATACGATGGTAACTAAGTAAAAAAAAACACAATATGGATGAAACAGAAGAGCAAGTTATACGAAATCATAAATTAACCGATTAAACATAGTAACTGATAAGATCAAACATTATCGTTAAATTGTTCATTATTATATAGAGGAAATGTGAAAGAATGATATCAATGTTTTATAGTAAATAATATCGATTAGTTTCTTTAAACATTACCTACTTTTGAATGAAATCAAAAATACCCCCTCTGAAATACGTAAATATCTAATTTCTAATAGTTGAGGGAATATACGTGATTTCAAAGTTAATTGTTAATTTAAATTTCATAAGTAGTTTTTTTCTTGTTGTTATTACATTCGGTCAATAGAATAGAGTAAAACTAAAAGCTGATGACGTAATATTGAAATGATCAAGACTGATTAGAATGGTGTTGGGTGATATTAAAATAACACTCTTTACTTCACCAAAGCTAAATGTTGTATGGTGATAACTTATTACTCATAGTGAAAAACCGATTTATTGTTAATTTGTATTCTGAAAAGAGGAAAAACAAACATTCTAGCAAAATAGCATGAATCCATTTTTATTTCGTTGGTTCTCGTCAGCTGCTTACAACCTGTGATATTTAAAATGGTGGAAGCTTACAAGAGCGCAAAGATCTTACAAACAGTCTAGTAAATTTATTTACACCCTTGCTATACTATGTCTTCAATATAACTCCCAATAAAACTCTTTCATGTAAGAAGTTTAAACCCATTATGTAATTATGATTTTTAAATATCACAGGTTGTAAGCAGCTGACGAGAACCAACGAAATAAACATGAATTCATGCTATTCTGCTAGAATGTTTGTTCTTCCTCTTTTCAAAACGTTAAAGGGAACTATGTGTATGTAATTTATATTCTATTATTTTCAGAAATACCTGTAATAGTCATATATTTTCTAATTTATTCACGATTTTCTTTATTCAACTCTTTACTAAATTTAATTGGCTAACGTATTACTGAAAATGATTCACATCTACAAATAGTGTTTGTTCAACTCTTGTTATTGATTAAATCCTATTGATGAAGTTTAATTGCGACCAATAATTCAAACAACTCTATATCTTATACGCTAATTCTGAATGTTAGATGATTATAAATATTCTTCGTAGGTTATAAACAAAATCCGAAGAAGCTTTGTTGAGCACAAAGGATAGATGTTATTTGAAATAATTAGGTGAATGAATGAAGTTGTATAGTTGAAAGTGTTGTATTATGATATCAATTATCATTCAAAATAGGAAACGAAAAGCTTTAACTGTGAAAGGTACAATTTTCAGATGGGATGATTTTTTAACGATTCTTCCATTAATATCAAGCCCTAATGAATGCTAACCTTGAGTGGAAAATATTTCAAAGACTTTGTCATATAAATAATTGACTGATGAATTGATTGTATATGTACTAAATTAATGACTGGATCTGAAGGATTATCGTACTCACCATCACATCTTATTTTGCGTCAGAATAAACTTCATAAATCGTAGTGATCGTTTCAAATATAAATTGTTGTTTATTAGATATGCGGTGGATCATAAAAAATAGACGACTGTTTTGTATAGTATTTTGGAAAGAAGGTTGTCAACTTCATACCAGCTTGTTAATAATCTAGTTTTAAAATAATTAACAGATCATTATTTAAGAAAACCTTCACTGAATATTTTACTCACCCGCATCAAGTTTAACTTATTAATCAGCTACAACATGATAATAGTGAGAATAATATAATAATAATCCAGTTTCATTCAATTATTAAAGTACGTTCAGTCTACTTTAGTTTAAGCAATCAAGCAACAACTTTGTGACTGCGAATAAAAGTTGTGGTAACTGATTAAATTTTAATTCATTTTACAAAATATATTACTGCACGCTTGTTGTAGAAATAAATCTACCTACTTTTACCCAAAGTTTGTGCTGGTTATAACGTTCAGAAAAACGATGAAAGCTCCATGACCAAATCATCCAACTCAGAGAACAAAACTCCATCATAGATCTACCCAATAGTTCATATTAAACAAAAGAACCGTAAAATACCGGAACCCAATGAACAAATTTAATGTATATGCACACTATATATACATAAATTATACATAAAATACCACGTTACTAAGCAAAATATCCTAACAGTTTGACTGAACATCAATCAAAATTGTCAGTAAACAATTCGTCAAGTTCTTATGAACCACATCTTTCAGAGCAAACAACAGTGTTTACAGATGAAGCGAAATTTTATGTAGTAAACTATATTTGTTTTATCCCCGAACATTGTAAATAAGAATTCAGTTGAACAAATTACTTTCTTATGTTATTGTAATAGTTAGTCAGTAAAATTTGTCGTATCTTTGAAGTTACCGATCAATTAAATTTGCTTGAAGTCTGTAATCAACAAATTTTATGCCAAACATATCCACAATAAATGATAGAAATTAAAAAAATTAAATAAATGCATTCAGGAACAGACAGATATGTAGACGTTGATACTAACGACTTATGCATAGATCTGTTTAAACCAAATTAACCAACGACAGTAAAAGAAAAAATCCTTTCTAAATTAAATGACAAATTAGTTTTAATCTCTGTTATGTTATGATCAATAGATGAATGCCTACTATGTTTACTGATAGAAAGACAACTGAATATCTTCTCTGTAATAAGAACTTTATCAATAAAACATTCATCTAAAGATTTATAAATATTATCAGATTGGTGAGTTTGGTGATAATGCTTTAAAAAAGGTAACTTTAAAAATCGATGAATAATACAAGTGGTAAAAATGGACCACCAAATGCCTTTTCTTATTTAAGGATTTTAATCCGTAGAAACCATTCACCTCTAACAATAATGAGTCTACGGTATTGGAAAATAATTACTTTGAACTTAATGTATACAACTTTGAATGAATGATTACAATTCTTCAAATCTATCGTTCAATATCATGTACAATGATCATATTCTAATTTCATTCTAAGTTACCTATTATTGCACTATATCAGCTCCTTTTATACAACTTATTAATATGGATAGCCGGACAGTCAAAAATACCGTGTTCCTTTTCCGTGACAGCCTAAATCAGGATGATAAGACAGTCTAATCCATTCCTTGTAAGATCTTATCTTGAATGTATATACCTGTGATCTTTAGTTTTACTGTGACTGAAAGTTTTATATTCAACTCTTAGCAGGTATAATCAACCATTCACTGATCTTAAACATGGATAAACATATTTACTATTAAAATCAACTTTACTGATTTCATATGATATAAATCTGCATGATTGCGTAAGGTGTATCACTTTGTGATGTTTGTTTGCATCTTCTCATAGATGTTTTGGATTGTAGTTGATCAGTCGCTTATTAGCATATGTGTATCCTGTACGGATTATCTCGGTATTGTCTTGAGTTACAAGCATTATAAGCAAAGAGTGATGGTGGCTAGTAGTGGAATCCAGGACGCGCGTTTTTTTCCTATTTGGACTCGAACTGGGTTCGAGTCTCGGAGTGAACATCAACTCTGGATGTACGTACGTTCAAATGACGAGATCCAAGTAGGACGAAACGCGTGTCTTGGATTCCGCTGCTACCCCCCTTTAATTTTTGTTTGTAAAAGTATACCATACTTTTCTTTATTTTTTTGATTAGGCAAAGAGCTTTCGTATTATTTCTATTTAATGAAAATGAAATGAAGTGAATTTAGTTATATAAAAGTTTTTACACTCTATAATATTTGTAATAAATTCGGTAGAAGAAGTGGACTCTGATATAAATTGTTTGAGAAAAGTATAAAATTACTCGATATCACTGAGAAATTATCCACTGGCATTTGATCCACTCTTGACATGTGACAATAAATGTTTGCTTTTCTTTTTCAATTAACTTTCATACAAAACTGGCGACATCAAGACGTTTGGATATGGTTAACGTTTAACAACTCAAATGACCTCAAATCATACATTTATGTAAGTAAAAACATTTAGCTAATCAAAATAAGCTAATTTATTTAAGAGTAGATTCATAGTTTAAATGTAACAGCGTGATAGATAAGCTTATTCTTGAAATTTTATGTACAGCGGTTGATAAATAACATACTAGTGATTTAGTGTTTAGAACACGTGGTTTTAAAAGGTTTCAGGTATGAATACCACCTGTATCCATCTGAATTTGAGTTGTTGATTCGTATCACTAGTGTTCATACAAACAATGAAGCTTAACACCTTGTACATAAACTTGTACTTGGCAAATCAGCTACATATTCATCATAAAGTAGTACTATTACAAAAAGCATTATAAATCTCATGTAGTTTAATTATTTGGAAAATTTCGAAATAATTTATTGAATTTTACATAGTTACCAAGATAATCATGAAATATGAAATTCATCGGTCATTAATTCAAGTATTTTTTTAATATAAATGCATGAAAATCATTTAAATTGGTACGCATTATAGTTTCATCATTAAAGAAAACCTGTCAAAATTCAATAAATGTCATTTGTTTATTCGAGTACATATTAGTTAAATAAATACAATAAAGATTTTAGTATAAGTTTCAAAAAAAAAATGAATTCAATCTTTTTGATTGAGGTCATAAACTGATTGATAATAGACCACCATTAAAAATGTGGAAGCGCTAAACGGCCGTTTCGTCCTACTATGGGATTCCCCAGAAGTGCGCATCCACGATCTTGTTCGTGGGATTCGAATCATTGAAATGGTTGTTGTTATTTAGGAAATTGATGAGTTTTCAAACAAACTGTAGTACATGTGTTGAATATATCTGATCACCCACTGAAAATAATTAACAATTCATCTAATAATGTAAACAATGTTACAAATTATTTAAATCTAATCAAGACTTGTTGATTGCGTAAATTATAAAAGCATTCTTAACACGAGAGTGTAATAAAAACATGTGCAAAATCTAATAATGTTGCCATCATGAGATCTAATAGAAAATAAACAATTACATTCAAATTACACATATTTTAATTGATACGAATCATTTATCAGCTTCCTGTACACATCACACTTAATTAAGTGATCAAAATAACCATAAAACTGACAATATTTTTCCCAAAAAAGCATAGGACCTAATAGTTGTCGCATGTTATACAAGTTACGAATATTTCATTCATAAACTAAAAACTATGAATGGTAAAAAAGTACAAAAAAGATACTTATTAACAAGGTAAAAGTATATTTGATCTAAACCCCATGTATTCAATACGGTTTTAATTAACTATAAACATAAATTCTTTGTAAATTAGAATTCGATACTAAACACATGTAGACTGAATGAAACCTAATAAAATAGGTAATGTTTATACTATGTTATTCGAACCACAACTGATTGTGACCGTAAATGATTTGACCAGATATTTATATATCATCAAATAGCTAATTCGTTTTATTCATATAAAGGAGGAAAGAATATTCAAGCATAATCTTTTAATTAATTTCTGGTCCAACATTCATTTATCATTAGTTTTATTCATCAATATATTTTTGAGATAACTCATTGAGTAGAAAATTGTATTTCTGACGTTTCGCAATTTAATGTAAGTCATTTCTTCATTGTAAATAAATTTCTAGTAATCATCATATAATTATTCATAAGATATTTGATTATTTTATTCTAGCATTCAACTAAGTAAAAGAAAAGGAAAACTTTCTTTCATAATTACTGACATACAGAAATATCGGTCAGAAAAATACTTCCATTATTGTTTATAATGAGTCTAACTTAACTGTCACGTTCATTACAAAAAAGAAATCCTATACGAAATCTAATACCACCAAATAGTACTTATTAGTTCATCTGTATTTAATCCAGATTGGAAGCGAAATCGTACTTAAAATAGCGAATACAGATAAACAAAACCTAATACTGTGATGTAGCTAATTTTATTGATTAGTATTATTACTATTAAACATGAGACGATGTAGTATTATCAATAACTCATAAAGCTCATAGAAGACAATATATCTAACAAACCACTGTACACGTACATCTAACTAACAACAATTATTATCTAGACATCCATGTGTTGACGTTCTCCGAATATCAAAAAAATTCATAAATGATCTCAGTCTCAGTAGTAATTTATCAATCACTATCAGAAATAACTCCTAAATTCTGAGAATACTATTTCAATTAAGCCTTTAATAAAAACTCAGTATTTACTAAATGTGACTTACCCATTGTTTTCATAATTTTTTATTTAATCCCCAATATTTGAAATTTGTATAAAATCGTAGATCGTTCGATCATAAAAACACGTTGTAGATATTTACACCGATAGTATTTTTAAAAAAAATCTATTTCCCCTCCACTCTCGGAAAGAGATTTTGTCACGTTCTCTATTTGACCTGATAGGCAAATATTACAATAAAAGGGTGAGAAAAATTGGGCTCCGTACTCTGATTGGTAAATCTCAAGGTCATGTGTGATTTAACCTTGATGGCTTGATTCGACTAGTTTACAATCATTGGGGACAGACCTTCATCCGATCAAAATAATAGTCTGTAACTAGTGTTTTTAATGATTATATCTTAATAATAAAAAGAAATTTTATTAAGAATAATAATAAAATATGTTCCCACGGTAAAAGAAATTTACAACAGTATTCGATGTTATATGAAAAGTTTATATTATTGAAATTTTTATTTCAGTAGAAAAGTAGACTGCCCTGTTGACAGTGGGTGGACAAAAGTTCTTAAAAAATAACAATAATAATAATAGTTGGAAAAGTGGGGTGTTTTAAGTAACTTAATAGAAAATAAGGAAATATAAGTTGTATAAGCCATATTGATTGATTCTTTTTCTTGTTACGAAATATTTATTCAACTGGTCATCATATCCAGATATAATGTAGATAGTTTCTGTTTAGTTAATATAGTTTGAACGAAATTCCTATAGAAAATTTATAGTAGAATTAATATGATAGTTTATATCTATTCGCTATTGATAAATTGATACTTTTTTTCATTTTAAATAACCGCCTTTAAAATATTAGTTGATGATTTAATTACTTATTTATTGAAGTTAGACATTAACACCGTTGGATGCCGGCTCAGTGGTCTAGTGGTTAAGTGCTCGCGCGCGAAGCCAGTAGGCCCTGGGTCCGAGCCCCGCGTGGTGCGGGATCGTGGATGCGCACTGCTGAGGAGTCCCATACCAGGACGAAACGGCCGTCCAGTGCTTCCAGGTTTTCAATGGTGGTCTAGCTTCAACTGACTCATGATTTCAAAAACTGTGAAAACTTATTTATTCATTGTACATTTCATTAAGACACTTCTAAAAAACAACTAATTAATATCAGATGGATTTTGTGGATATTATAGTAATTTCAATGGTTAAGATCATGAGTCAATTGAAGCTAGACCACAATAGAAAAACTAAAAACACTGGACGGCCGTTTCGTCCTATTGTGGGACTATTCAGAACATGTAAAGTGAATTCTATATCAGTGGAGTTCTCAAATGATAATCAGTAAGTTATAATAACCAAACTTTGATAAATTAAGATTAAAATTATTCGGATAGAATATACTACTAAAATAATTATTTGATTTAATCAGTAGTAAGATTTTCTAACAATATTATCATGATTAGAAAAACTTATTATACTTTATGTTAATTTTCTTTTGGATTATCTAATACTTCATTATAAGTGAACTTTAAAATGTAAATTATTTTCATTTCTATTCTAACTAATTATTGGATTATTTAATAATTTAAATTCATTTGGGAATTATGCCGAATTTTGCATTAATAATCAAAGTTCATTATTTAAAAACTTGAATATGTGATATAGAAATATATTAATTAACTTTAATTTATGAGGCTATAAATGATAATTTACTATTTTTATAATACCATAATGAGTAGAACTTTATATTTCTGATGTTTCGTGATTTCGTATAGGTGACTTCTTCAGAATATATACTTTTGTTAAGTTTATTTTGATTATTTATCTAAATTCTCTGAAGAAATCACTTAAATTATGTCACGAAACATCAGATATCACAAAGTGTATTTATTATTTTAATGAATTAAATGAGTTGATTAGGACAAGGAATGAACTTGAATAAAATGATTTTCATTCAACTTCTCATGAATAATACACCACTAGCTAGTCATTAATTAATTTCAGTGAGTTGAATAAGCAACATCATATTAAACATAACATGTAATTGATAAGATTTTAAGAATTATAAGGATGACAGGTGAATTTAAACCGAAATCTAAAGTGCAGATAGATTTGTATAGCAAACCTTTAAGTTTATATCTCGACACTCTAATGAATGACTACAACACTTGTCTACTAATCACAACTTTATTTCTCTTCTGGTCTCTAGCTGATATATGAATAAAAACGATCTAAATAATTTTTTCCTCACAAAGCTATAAATATCTCATTCATGAAATCTATTCGTAAATTATGCAATATCCTTTCGTATATCAGAAAATAAATAAGCTTATCGGTCATACTAAGTTATATCATCTTCAAATAGTTAGTCTTTCATAGATATTTGTATTTGTACACGCTGACCAGAATTTCACTTTCACATAATTTCTATCTTAATCAAATATTTCTGATTCTACCCGTTAACATCTATGTAAGTGGTAATAAAACAAATATGTGTCTTTATCAATCAGGTCAAACGACAGAAATCTTAAAATAGACTTTAGTATACTAAACATTTATAAATCTCAGTGGTTGAGATCATGAGTCAATTAAAGCTAGTGGGCATATGTTGTTTTATATTAGAAGAGATTTTGTGGATATTATAGTAATTTCAATGGTTGAGATCATGAGTCAAGTGAAACTGTGGCGGAGTCTCATACTAGGACGAAACGGCTGTCCAGTGCTACCAGGTTTTCCAGAGCGATCTATGTTCAATTGGCTCATGATCCCAACCATTTAACTTACTACAATATTAATAAAAACCCTCCTGATATTTATGAATTTATCAATCGTAGGATAGTCTGACTAACATGAAAATAATACGATATTATTGAGAATTCCCTGATCAGATTTTGATTTCACCATTTTTTTTTGTTTTTCTAAACTGAATCAGTGACTGATCAACTGTATCAATATTTGAAACTAATTTATTTACACATGTAAGATCAAAATTTTTCAATCAGACAACCTTGAATCCATGATCACATGTTTAAATCTTATTCTAACGTTATCGGATTATGAACATTTTGAAATGACATTTAATAACAAGTATTTAGATTGTACAAATGTAAATGATGTATATTTCTGATAACGGTATAAATCAGAAAAGAATAGAATTTGCTTTCAATATGTACTTTATGATATATACAGGGAAAAAATGTATAGATATTTGATTTCATAAATTGAAGAAATGTTCATACGAAATATTCCAAAGTAACTTTAACATATTTAACTTATCATAATAAATGGTAAACAACAAATATAAAACATGAATAAATATGAGATGTATCTTATTCACAATATCAATTATCTATTTGTCAACATAGTTACTATTCCACTATCTATGTTTGCCAAAAAAATCTTGTGACTTAAAGCTATATCAAAGCAATCCGCACAGGATGTACATATGTCAACAATAAACTGATCAATTGTAGACCTAAATAACAATGGGAAGATACAAATAAAACAGCACTAAGTGAATTCGAACAAAATAATTTCTAGAAAAAGGAAAATAAAAGTAGTAAAGCAAATCACAAATAGAATTTATGTAAACCTGAATATATTCGAAATGATGACTATTTCTATTATATATTTCTTTGTAATTATTCATTATTCATTTTTCTTTATCATAATACGTTGGTTGCAAAATTAATAAGCATAAAGTTTATAACACAGTACATACTTAACAGTCATCCTAGAA